GGGGAGAGGGAGGTCTGGGCCTCCCTTCTGAAGCTGCTGCCCCCGCGACCCGACCCCGGATAGGCGGAAGAAAATGGATGGATAAATAAATTAATAAATCCACACCAGTTTAAATAGAAAGCCCATAAGGCGTCTTCTTACCAGTATTTTTTTTTTTTATTATATTCACAAATTTAAGGGTGAGAGAGTGGGATAGACACAAAATGTGCTTCCTCTTTTGTGTGAGGTATGAAGATTTATTCTTTCAGCAATTTTTCATCTCCCTTCCCTTGTGACAAAATGACACCGAAAACAGGAACAAATGCAACGATGCAGTCTGGCTTGTATTCTCCTCCCTGTTAGTAGAATTTGAATATTATACATTAACGGCTGATGCCACCACGGTGTCAAAAAACGTCTTCAGAAGTGCCCCCTGCACTCCAAAAGACCTCCGCCTCCTCAGCAGGTAGAGTCTGTTCTGACCCTTCCATGTTGTGAGTCCAGTCCAGTTTATTGTTCAGGTGAACACCCAGGTACTTATAAGAGTCCAGTATCTCAATGTCCACTCCCTGGTTGTTCACYGGTGTCAGTGAGGTGGTACTGYGCCTGTGGAAATCCACCACCAGCTCCTTAGTTTTAGCAGCATTGATCAGGAGGTGGTTCTGCTGGCACCATTCCACAAAGTCCTGATTCCACTGTCTGTACTCTGAGATTCAGAGAGGCCGACTTTCTTTCAAACTTCACATTGTAAATACTAAGCTACAGATCAGTTTCTTTGCTTTCAAAAGGCACACTACCAAACAAAACAAAACAAAACAAAAAAAATCCCAATATTGCTCAACAAGAAACAGATATTCAGATTCARTTAATGCCATCTCTCTTTTTTCTTCTTCTTTTCCAGCCAGCTGAATTTCTACACAAGTACTATTCCAGTGGCAAAAGGTTTCTCACTGTTTTGCCTGATGGCTCTGATCAGGTCTTGTATCCACTCAAGTTGAATTTCTTGTAAAGAGAATTTAATCACAATTACATTTTTTCTGCTAGTTTTTACAGGAAGAAAAAAAAATCACACAGCTGGAATAAGGCCTTTTTAGGGTTAAAGTTAGACTAGTATGAGTGATAGAGCATCTACTCTGCAGCGATTGTACCTGTCCTTATCAACATGGTTACAGTTATCCCTCAGGCCTGTTGGCTCTTGTTGTCGTGGTCTCTGAACACAACGACAGAGTCTGCATTGTTTACGACAACGCCCCTTGTCAGACGGTTAGATCTGTGTTTCAGTCTGACGGTGGGGCGGCGTGTTACCACAGCAAAGCAATATATGGTAAACATATTGTTTTTAGAATTATCCTAATTTATGTATGGGTTTCTCCACTGTGGAAATGCATGTGTTTGTATTCATGCTGCAGGTTGGTTCTGAACCAATCAGGAGGTCAATGTTTGACTGATGCAAGGGCCAAAACTYACCAATGGAACTGGGGGAAGTGGGAACTGTACTCCCACTCCCCTTTGTCCTTTCTTCCTGTCCCTTACCAAAACAGTTGGGATCCGAATCCTTGGGAACAAAAAAGTGTTTGTGTCCTTCTTGGCAATGGGCCAAAAGGCAAAGTTTAATGTGGGTACATGCTGTACTCAGGTAAAACCCAGGAATATTTTTCTCTTTTCAGTTAACATTTCTTCAGACTGTAATATTAAAATGCAAGTATAATAAATAAGTAATGTATAACAATGTATTTTTAATTGCAAAATGTTTTATTTTAYATTAATTTTATTTTTCTGTTTTTTTTCCTTCTCTTATTTGTATTTTACTGTTGGATGTTGTTTTGTTTGTACTGTTTGATGGGACTGCAGATGTAAATTAGCCTTGGGCTAAATCTGGTGCAATGCATCAAATTATATTTTAATTGCACACGGTCCCGAACAGATAAAATAATTCATTCATTCATTTTAAGCAGGGGTTTATAGTAACCAAGTACACTTACTTTGTTGCAGTACTGAAGTTGTTTTTTTTTTTTTTTGAGGATTTGGAATTTTACCAATTATTTTTAAATAGCTCCTTCTACTTTTATTTCGTTAAATTTTAAAGCTAAAAATTATGCTTTTACTTCTTTACTTTAAGATTTAACACCACACCACTCGTTACAAAATTAAGTATGTTCAAATTCATCATGAAAGATGTTTTTGCACTCTAAAAAAATAAAGTGTTGAATTTACTCAACAAAGTCATGTCAACTGGCTATGCTAAGCATAGTTGAGTAAACTGAGCAAAAAGTATGTATATTACTCAATTTACTCAACCTGGTTTAGTGGAACCAGTTTGGTTCAGTAAATGCAACAGTTTATTTTTTAGAGTGTGTAAGTGTACATCTAGTGTGAACTTCCAGTTCTTGTCTCCGATCTTAGAGACCAGGTCTGATGTGATCTTATCACTAGGCGGCACGGTGGCTCAGTTGGTAGAGCTGATGCCTCTCAGCAAGAAGGTCACYGGTTCAAATCCCGGTCCGGGACCTTTCTGGGTACAGTTTGCATGTTCTCTCCGTGCATGCGTGGGTTCTCTCTGGGTACTCCGGCTTCCTCCCACAGACCAAAAACATGACTGTTAGGTTAATTAGTAACTCTAAATTGTCCCTAGGTGTGAGTGAGAGAGTGAATAGTTGTTTGTCTCGTTTGTCTCTATGTGTGGCCCTGTGATGGACTTGCGACCTGTCCAGGCTGTACCCCGCCCCTCGCACTGTGACTGCTGGATATGGGCACCAGTGACCCACGCAACCCTGAAAAGGAAGAAGCGTGTACAGAAAATGGATAGATGGATGTAAGTGTACGTTTACTTTTACTTTCCCAGTTTTTGACTTTTACTTGAGTAGTTTTCTCATCTCTGAACATTATTTTTTTTTACCAAAGTCATTTTCTGTGCATGTATTTTTATTTTTACTTAGTTATTTTTCAAGTACTTTATAGACCTCTGTAAATAAGTAACATTCCTGTTTTAAGTGGGAATGTAAAACACATGGTTCAGGATCTTCAGCTTTTAAAAAGGAGGAACTGTTTGCTGTCAGCCTGGTTGTTCGGCAACTTCATCAGTTCCTGACGGCACCCTCCAGATCCAGGTTTCCCCAGACTGAGCTCCCCTCCAGTCTCTGTGTTGCTGCTTTAAAGCTTCTAGATGATGCTGATGAAGA